ATTCCGTTTATGTTTGTTAAACGGATTACCTTGCAGTTCTACTTCTTATTTCTAGCCCTTCTAGTCAAATGTTTTTCACAACTCTGGATCATTTTCTTTTGCTTACTGTTCTAATTCCACGATTCTGGCATTGGATTCAGCATCTTTTAACTTCGCGTTCTCTACATTTTCTTTCACAGCCTGCTTTAATTCCACAATTTTAGCCACAAACCTTAGCTTAACCAAGAGATCAACATAGTAAATACGTTATGTATACGAAATGGAACCATTAGAGCCAGTTTTATTGATATGATAAAAAAAATAAGATAAAAATTTTCGTTCAGTTCTATTGAATTGCACAAAGATATATAGTAAAGTAAAATAAAAAATAAAAAATATGCATTCGTGCATTCGTTGGTTGGTTATCCAGGCCGCACCACGTGGAGGTCGATATATTAACGGTTGTAATAAATTAGGCCATACAGATTTAATTTCTTGGTTTCATGAGACTTTTAACCGGCCGGCTTTTTTTTTACGTAGTTAATTTTATATATAAATTTTATTAAAAGCTCACTTGGTTAACTCAGGATTGATTCTGATTGGCCGAATATTACGTACACAATTCGGACAATTCGGAGGATTTTCCACTAGCGCTAGATCTATTTTTTTTTTTAATTTAAATACAGAAATATTTAAGATTCAATCGTATCAGTTATTGATAAAGTATCCAAATAAAGGTCAATTTTACAAATTTGATGAATTGATAAACTTCCGTGCCAAATAGATGTACTCATCTTGCTTAACGTCGGCTCAACTCTGACCCGTGCGTAGCAAAATCAATTTTCGAATCAGATTAGATGTATCACATGACGAGGCGCTAAATCCAATTGTATATAACTATAGTCCGTCCCATTTGGTAGGAGGAAAAAAAAAGAGATTACTACTCTGTCGCTGATCGTGACAAATGGAAGTCGCAGATAAGAACAAAAAAAGGAATGCTGAAAATTATGAGGATTCCGTTGATAAGCGGTCAAATGAGTCTGGGTTACTGAAAAGTAACCAAGAACACTCGAGCAAGCGCCAAAGAGTTGAAGTAACTGATAATCCTTATTTAGCGCACCGTCAACTTAACAAAAGTCCACTTGATGGCTGGTTTCCAGGAAGAACTACTGCTGAACAAGCCCGAGTAGCTGAAGATGGTGAAATAAATCCTTTCACAAATAAACCTTTCAGTAAGCGATATCGTGAACTTTTAAGATCTCGGCGAACCCTACCAGTACACGCACAAAGAAAGGAATTTCTTGATCTGGTTCATGACAACCAATTTGTCGTATTTGTTGGTGAAACTGGTTCCGGGAAAACGACTCAGTTAGTAATATCTGTTTTATACTAGATTACAATAAATGTCTATTGATACTAATTTATTAATTCGTTTTTGTTAGAATTCCGCAATTTTTATGCTACGATATACTTCCACATTTAAAGAAAAAGCAAATTGCGTGTACACAGCCTCGTCGAGTTGCTGCTATGTCTGTAGCTCAACGTGTAGCTGATGAAATGGATGTAAAGCTTGGTGAAGAGGTCGGATACAACATCCGTTTTGAAGATTGTTCGGGGCCCAAAACTATGTTAAAGTATTTAACAGATGGTATGCTTTTGCGTGAAGCTATGAATGATCCAAATTTAGAAAAATATTCTGCTATTATTCTTGATGAGGCACACGAGCGTACCCTAGCAACTGATATTCTTATGGGTTTAATGAAGCAGGTAACATATCAAAATGAAGGTTGTTTCTAAGGTTTCGTAAATGATCAATAATTTAATATTAAACAATTTGATTTTATTCTTAGATTGCTAAAGTACGTAAAGATCTAAAGGTCATTGTAATGAGCGCTACTCTCGACGCTGAAAAATTCCAAAGATATTTCAATGAAGCACCAGTCCTTGTATGTTTCATTCATTTAATGTCTACTGTGCTTCTTCAGAATGATAAACTAAATAGATGTAATTAAAATTTTTTTTTTTCTAAATAGACCGTTCCAGGTAGGACTTTTCCGGTGGAGATTTATTATACACCTGAAGCTGAACGAGATTATCTTGAGGCTGCTATTCGTACGGTTATGCAAATTCATGAATATGAACCACCTGGTGACATTTTATTATTTTTAACTGGTGAAGAAGAAATTGAAAATGCTTGTTTAAAGATTCGCACAGAGAATGAAGAGTTGATGAAAAGATCCGATCTAGGAACATTAAAAGTCCTCCCATTATATTCCTCGTTACCACCTCAACAACAACAAAGAATTTTCGAAGACGCACCACCACCCCGCATGAAGGACGGAAAACCTGGTCGCAAAGTTATTGTATCAACCAATATTGCAGAAACATCTTTAACTATTGATGGTATTGTCTATGTTGTTGATCCTGGCTTTAGCAAACAAAAAGTTTATAATCCTCGTATCCGCGTCGAATCGCTGCTTGTAAGCCCTATTAGTAAAGCTTCTGCTCAACAAAGGGCTGGTCGTGCTGGTCGTACGCGTGCAGGAAAATGTTTCCGCCTTTACACTGAGAAAGCATTTCTTAAAGAATTACAAGAACAGACATATCCTGAAATTTTAAGGAGCAATCTGGGCAGTGTAGTCCTTCAATTAAAAAAGTTGGGAATAGACGATCTTGTACATTTTGATTTTATGGATCCTCCAGGTAAATAAATAATTGATATTAGTATATTACCATAGTATTTTGTTTTATTTAAAACGAATTCTTGACCATATTTTGATTTCTCTTTCGAAATATAATTTAGCTCCAGAAACATTGATGCGTGCTCTTGAGCTTCTAAATTATCTTGGAGCTCTTGATGACGATGGTAATCTCACTGGCGATGGAATTTTAATGGCCGAGTTCCCACTTGATCCTCAACTGGCAAAAATGTTGATAGAAAGTCCCAAGTATAGATGCTCTAATGAAATCCTTTCAATCGCTTCATTATTATCAGGTATTTATTAATGTTATTGGATCAGATGGATTCTTTTTATTTTGAAGATTTATACCTTAATAATATTAACGTGTAAAAAAACATTAAAGTGCCAAATATTTTCGTCCGACCTAATGAATCGAAAAAGCAAGCCGAGGATGCTAAAGGAAAATTTGCACACACTGATGGAGATCATTTAACTTTGTTGAATGTTTATCATGCTTATAAAACTAGTAAGTCATATAAAAGATGAAACTACGGATTCAATTTATTTTAATTTATTGAGGCATAATAATCTCTTTTTTCTTTGATAGATATAAATGATCCGGAATGGTGTTATAACAATTATCTCAGTGCTCGATCTTTGAAATCGGCTGACAATGTCCGTCAGCAACTCAAGCGCATTATGGAACGTTGTGACCAAGATTTGGTTAGCACACCATTTGAGGATAGAAGTTATTATACAAACATTAGGCAAGCTTTGACGGCGGGATTCTTTATGCAAGTTGCACATTTGGAAAAATCAGGCCATTATTTGACATGTAAAGATAATCAGGTAAATTTTAATCAATGTAAATCTAATTTGTCAATAATTTAGTAATTCTAACTATTGTAATATTGTTGTATTGTTTATTATACTGTATCAGATTGTTCAACTTCACCCATCTTCGTCCCTTGGGCATCAACCTGAATGGGTCTTGTATAATGAATTTGTTCTTACGACCAAGAATTATATTCGCACTGTGACTGAAGTAAAAGCTGATTGGTAAGTAGTTGGTATCAACAATAATATGAACTTTATTAAATTGCAGACATTAATTTTTATCTTTATTATAGGCTTTTGGATATTGCACCAATTTATTATGATCTTCGAAATTTCCCTAATTGTGAGGGAAAGAGAGTTTTAGAAAAACATTTGACTAGAAGGGCTAGAAATAAGAAGTAGAACTGCAAGGTAATCCGTTTAACAAACATAAACGGAAT